ATATGCAGGATGTTTTGCTCAGCCCAATCTTTATTATGAATTCTTATAATCTCTGCCAAAAATTAAAACGAAAAAGCACGACAGAGAAAGCGATAGTAATAACATCTAAAGACAAAAAAATAAAGTAAAATTGGGTGAAAAAAAATTAAATTCGCTTTAATAATGTTCCATTTTTGGAATATAGGCGTTTGATAGGTACATTCTTAAAGGACGGAGTTTATGATTTCTTCAGCTGCTTTCTAGATCTTATCTTTGGAAGGAAAAAAGTAGTATTCACTTAGAAGACTATGAAAATATCATTTTAAGAAATATATAAATAATTAAAATTTTTGGGGCGGGGATAACCTGGTTGGCAGGACGCTGGGCTCACGATTGTGAGAACGGGAGTTTGAATCTAGCAGGGAGTAAGCACCCCGTGTAGTAAATGGTGACTGGTGCTCGTTAAATCTGTCGGATCCCAACGTCCTCCCAGTTTCCATAACAAATTATACTTCTGGGTGTACTGAACATTGGAGATCCATCATTCTTTGGCTCAGGCTAAAAGTACGACCTGTGGATTAATTAATGGATATGTGAATGGGTCCACCCTTTAAACGCGTGTGACGCATGGGTGTTGCAGAAGCCGATAACTCCACTGAAAAAAAAATCGCACCCCTTTCCTTAGTGGACTACGACAACAACAACAACAAACTTTTTCAAAAGCATAAAATAATTATGTATTGACATGATATTCTACAGATTCTCCAGAATAGTTTTGAAAATATATCAAGAAGACCACAATTCATGCCTTCACGACATTTTTACATAATGCCTTCTGGCGTTTTCAATTCTGTGGGCTCATCAAATTTCACTTTCTTATTTGATTTTAAAACTGAGCTTTCACTCCTTGTTTTTATATGCACTTAACTCGAAGTTTTACTTTTCCCTTTCAGCTTTTACAATATTATTTTTTTAAAACAATAATTTACAGACAAAAATTGAAAGAAACATAGCTATTTTCAATTAATACTCGTGGTTCATCCGGCTTCTGCTGACAAATATGTAGATCTTTCGTACCTAAAAAGCAACTATCTAACAATGTCTTTTTTGTAGCATCGTTATGCATATTAGACATCGCGCTAAAAGCAAGCAAAATGTGTAAAGGCGTCAAATAAAAAAAAATAAAACACTTTCCTTTGATTCACTCGGTAGCAACAAATTTATCATGAAAATAAAATAGATCACAAGAATCAGAAAAGAAAAAAACTATCATTAACAAGAATGTATTCTTACCATCATTGGGAATACATTGAAAAGTCCTTTTGATCTTAAAATTTAACTTTATCATTGCCAAAAAACTCAATAAAGTATAACAGCCACTTGAAAGTCATCACCTTACCGTAAATAATTTCTTTAGAATAGTTCAGAATTTCAGCAAAATAGTTTAGAATATCAGCAAAAGGAAAAAAAAGCACTGTGTATGAGAGTGTACTTATCTTTCTCAGTATTCTCTCGCTATCAGTCTATTATCAGCCCAGTACAAATTTATGTCAAAAGAAGTTTAACCTAATCAAGTACATCCCTACTGTAATAATTTCGTACGTAACTTAAAGTGCCAAGCAAACTTTATTTAAAACTTATCTTTGAACTTACAAAAATCATTTATTAATGAAGAAAATAAAATCAATTAAACTAAACAGCACTTAATTTTCTAAAAAACATATTCAACGAGAGTATTTTACTCTTCACAACGCAACACATCCATACTCTTGCAAACTTTATATCGGTCTGTCATATAAAAACTAGCAGACATCAAATATTCAATCAGAAACACTTCCATAAAGAGAATGAGAAAAATAGTAAAATGAACTCTTAAAATTATGTGCAATTACTTTTTAAATGTCCGAAATAAACTTTAAAATAAAGAAATAAACAGGCCAGGAAAAAGCACATCGGTTTTCCAAAGCATGCAAACTTTCCCATCAGAACAAATTTCATTTTCCTCCAGCGGTCTTTCGAACTCGCGATATCTGACGTTTTTTTAACCGCTTCCCTAATTATCCCGAGTTAACTCGGGTATGTATTTATTGAAAATATTTGTTATCCCGAGTAAACTCGGGCATAGCAGAATTCGTCAATATGTTTTGCTTTATCATGCTTCTATTCAGCCGGAAGCAAAACAAAGAATAATAATAATCTGCTGTTATTGGAAGTTTCCCAATTTTCGTTTGGGATTTTGCTGTTTGTAGGACTGCAGGCGTGTTTTGTACAATTCTATATACGATGGTTGATGAATTAACTAAGAAAAATTGCTTTTGCGAGCGAAAATAAAAGTAATGCAGATGATTTTTCAGATTATGAAAATGTGAACATATACAAAGACCAATATTTAACTTTTTTCATTTGTCCGAGATAATTTGGGATAGTAAACTGATGGTAAATTAAATATTTTTTACACAGAAAAAAATTAAAATTTCAACTTAGAACTTGCGTATTAAGTTTTGTTTTAGTTCCTTGTATTTATCAATGAAATCAAAAAAAAATATGTTGATTTTTTGCATTTTGTTTACCAAAAAATTGTTAGGGGAAGTGGTTAACATCGTTCTGCAAGCAAAACACGCTTTGATTCGATCATGGATCCTAAAGTATCTACGAGTATCGAATCCATGGATCTAGACTCCATGGATTCGATACTCGTTTGATCACTATTGGATGGTGACCAGTTTCTTAATTCAACTATAACATCAGGTTACTATTAACTAGTTTCCCGCGAAAGTGAGTCTTTCGTAGGGTCATTTGTGCTATATTCTTACTCCGCAAATGAAAAAATACATACTGGTTTTTTCACCAATGGGTCGGGTGAGATATTTTAACTATGACTTTCATAAGTTTTGATCTTACCGATATTTGTGTCGATAACCATCGGCAATATTACTGAACTCTTTAAGGACCTGGTGGCCCAAAGTAATCTGAACCACTTAGTGGCCTTCTCGGGTCCATTGGGGCAACTGAAGGGTGCATGGGTAGTAGTGATTGGGAGGGGATGATCTGTGACAGTGATGTATAGGAACTCATTAAGAGTCATCAGGAAAGAGGTGTGCGAATTTCACGCTTTATTTAGAAACATTTCCACTTGTGGTTTTAGATAAACCCAGAATCATATTAATTTGTCACAGATTTGTTTGTTGTTGAAACTGGACCACTTTATGTACTTATTAAAAATTCAAGATTTGCTGGCTTTTGGGAATTTATTTTTGAAATTCCAGTGTCCATTAAGACAAATATCTTTTTAATAAAATTGCGATTCGCTTACTGTAGTTGTTTTCTTTCAGGAATAATTGTTTAACTTGAATAACTAGTATAAAATCAATTGAAAAAAACGCACACGGCATATCTCAATAAATCACTTGATATCTAAAATTAAAACTTTTGAAATGTTCGGAAAATGGATCATTTGGTTTTTAACTAAGATTTGAATTCTAAAATTTTGAATTCAATGCTTAACAGAGGGTTATATTATCCTTTTAAAAGTTTGTAAGCCTTGTACTCGTATTATAAAAATTGAATTTTCGTTAAGTTATATTATAACAAGATATACAAATTATATCAAATTTTTGAAATTCATGAAAAATAAAATAAATATGAAAACTGAACCAAACTAAATGCAAAGAACATTTTGTAATGTAAGTTTTAATATTATGAAAAATAATATTATTTGACTAAAATTGCTCATTGAATTTAAACTCAAAGTTCATGTTCGTTTAGAACATCAACATGTTAACTGGAGATTAAAACTTAGTGTTTCTCATAATAGTCCTTCAACTCCTCAGTGTTTCCACCTGCAAACCTGTTTTGTTATTTACTACATTCAACTTCCTATATCATGATTTGTTAGATTTCGATAGCGTGTTTGTTTCTCCTCACTTAATGATTTGCTACCTCAATGTACACACATGATTGGTATTATTTTTAATAAGGATTTAAAGCATAGATATTACTTTTGGTCTTTTAGTGTGTGCGCAAGTTAGAAAAACATTTTCTTCGTCAAAAAATTATGGCCATAAATCTAATATTCCATCTCTAATATATCAGTTATGATGTTGTTTATTTCAATAAACAACTGAAAGTAAAAAAATGTTACTTTGGACCATGATATTATTATGATAGCACCTTTTTTGTAAAAATATGAATCAAAGTATTTTTTTAATCCTAGAACTTTAAATTTCATGTCTTATGCTGTTTGTTTACCACCAACAATAGCTCTCGAAAATTTTCCTTCAAAAATTTCTTTTTATAAATATGTGGGGTTTTTTTTCATTCATTATGCTTCGAATGAAAAAATAATAACAAATCTTATTTCCCAGGCTTAGGTTTGATTTGAAGAATTTCATAAGTTAAGGAAAATAAATACAAAATAGTTAAAGATAGGATTATTAATATTTTACATAAAGGATTGTCATTTATTTAGAAATTAAAGTGTTTAAAGATGCATATCTTAAAATTTTCAAATAAATGAGTTTCTACAACAAAATTATGCTAGTAAGTGTATACCCGAAAGTATCTGTGACTTTCTGTGAATATTTGAACACAAACTTGCAAAAGTTTTACATCTTGAAGCTATTTTTATGAACATTTTTACCTCAATACATTTTTTTCCTTTGAATTAAAATTCAAATGAATCGAAAGAACTATTCTAACTTCCACTCAAAACAAAGCTTTACTCTTTGAATTCCTTTCCTAAAACTTGAGTCTAAAGAAAATATTATCGATCATTCAAGTTGGAATCATTAACGCTCAACTATAAATATTCAAAAATAACTAGACTGAACTAATGATTCTATCTTTGGCTGAAAAAGTTTCTTTGAAATGACATGTTTTTACGAACAGTATTCATAAAATTCTATTGAAAATGTACGAAAAAAGACTCAGCGAGGGAAATAAAAAATATATAAAATCTGTTATATTTAATGGGATATCTTTGTTATATGGTTGTATGTCATTGCCATATTTTCATCTTTTAGCCACAGGGACTCCAGTCAGTGATGAGGAGATTTCTAGAGAAAAGATGTCCAAGAAAATCCCTCCCGAAGATCATGCACCGTTTTATTTAAGTGGAGCTTCAGTTGATATGCCTGATGATGGATTGGATGTCGATAGTTTTCAAGTACGTATATTTTATTCAACATTTTTTACAGTATTTTGCTCAACATACTCTCTAAAGAATAACTTAATTGCAAATAGAAAATAGAATTTTTTTTCGCTCTGAAAATTTCTTATAATTCCTTTTTTTTCGATTTTTTCGATGAATGCGAAATTTTTGTTTTATTAACCAATCTAGAAAAATATGCATACATTATCATACATACACACACACCTACATATATATATATATATA